GCACCTTGTTTTACTCAGGTTTTTTAAACCTAGGCTGGCGTGTGGCATCAAGTCAGTACGCATATCCATGAGTGTGTGTGTGCGTGTTTTTTCAAAAGGTCTTGACCGTTGACCGTAATTTAATGTAAATTTACTGTTTTATATAGTCCTGCTGGAAGCCAATGGATCTTCTCCCTCTAGGCGCCTGATAAGCTGCAGCATTCTTCTCGGGCATGATCGGCCTTGTTGGGTATAGATGGAAGCTGACTGTTGCATGAAGACAGCGCCTGCTTGCAGGATCTTTACAGTGGATTGTAGACGCTAGTCATTTCTGAGCCTTGAATCCTCACGTCCCTCTGGAGCATGAATCCAAACAAAATGGCAATGGCCTCCAACCTAAGGCTGAGGATAATATGCATGAATCCAAACGTAGAGTCGTAGAGTCGAGTTTCTGTAATGCCCAAGCCACCAGCATCCACCAACTCTCAGTCTCTGGCGGTGCGTTGCCCACACAAACCATGCGCACGAAGTAGCCGCCTTGACCGAGTTCAACAAAGCCGCTGAAATCAGAGGGAAATAGGATCATCTGCCGCCAAAATACAAAACCATACATACAGATTCTACCTCCCCAACACCCAGTTGAACTATCAAAATCCGCTAAAGACTCCCAACCCAAGTCCATCCATGGCCAACCCCGTACCCGTGACAAAGTGATCTCCCTCCTCCTCGTTTCGCACCAGGCCTTCATTTCGGAAGGCCAAGCATGGCGTGAGGCCTCACTCAGGCAGGGATGCGGAGAGAAGGTCTATGACTGTCTGTTGAAAAATAGTTCGGGGGATGGTGTTGCAGCCTTAAAGGTTTCCACTTATGTAGCTTGTATCAATGCTTCTTAAACGTGTGTGTGTTGCTCTGTGAAACAAGAGGGATCCAGAGTTTGGCCCGCAAGTTCCTTAAGTCATGCTCTCTTCCAGCTACGTCTAGTGAGTCTAGTGAACACTAGGGTGCCGCACGGGAACCTTCAGCCCAAGAGAGATCGGTCACAAACCCGGTCGTCCTGGGTTCATGAGCGGGGCGCTCAAGGAAGTACAGTACAAAGCTCAAAGGTTTCGCATATTGCAAGTCTTGCGAAAGAACATAAGCACAAAGTCAGGGAAATCTTCATGGCTGCAGCTGTCCAAGGGTTCCCTCCCTCATGCTGAACCCAAAGTTCCACATGCAAGATACAACAGGTTCACATCCCAAGGCCATCGGTTTGAGGTCGACACTCCCAAGGGCCTGGGCTGGCCTTTCGAGGTGTGGAAACTGACACCGGCAACCCAGAGAGCGCTTTGAAGAAGAGCATGCACGTGAGACTCAACAGCTAGGTTCTCAGTGCTTGGAGTATGTGTGTGTGTGTGTGCGTTGGAGTGTTCAGTCTGAACCATGTGGCAACTGACAAGATCGAACATGTTTCTCTCGATATGTACAAACATGTCTCATGACTACTTCACTGGGTCAATACGACTGTGGTGCACAGGCCTGGTTCTCAGCGTTTCTTCTGTAGTGTCTCCTGACTGCGACTTGTTCTCGATGCGAACGTACAAAAAAACATCATCGATTGAGGGAGTCTTAGGGCCCAAGCTATGAAACACTTGGGTTTGGCTCAGGTCCACTGGTAATCGTTCTAGAAGCCGAAATCCCTCCTGAAGAAGGCCAGATTCCCGGCACCAAGGTACACTCCTCAGCCGACAATACCAATGAAATGGACCACTGAGCAGCCTTGCCTTGACCTTTCTTGGTTCCAAACAAGGACCACAAAAAACAAAAAGGACTACATTAAAACAAGATAGACAAGGTCTGAGTCTTAAGACAGTGCTCAAGAATCTCCTTACACCCTTAGCAATTGAAGGCACCTCGTCACTGGGTCAGCGCACCCATGCAGCCTTCAAATCCCTGGCCGGCCGTGATGGTCGCTAAGGGCTGGATGTAGGCGCCTCAACGACAGCTCCGCCGTCAAATGCCGTCAGAAAATCGAATGAGCAACTACAGGGGAACGTAAAAACAATTGCAAGATGATGAAGGCACCATTTTGCACCTCAATCTCAAGTGCACTTCTCTCTCTCTCTCTCCCCCTTCCTCTCCCAAATGTATTGTCGAAACGTCAATCATTTAACGGAACACATTTTGACCATCAATCCTATCACCTTGGAGCCATCAAACAGGGAGGTAATGGTCACAACACCCCCAGATTAAAGGCACCCGAACACCCTTTGCCCACCGTGCGTCAAAGTGCGCCTTCCACCTTGCGCGGCGCCTCACGAACCTGGCTTTGGATAAGGTCTGAGAGAGGTGGATGCTGCAGGAAGAGGCAATCACGCCAGCATAGACCCAAATAGCACAAGATACGTGCACGCAACCCCTAACTGCGTTGCCCTTTTTCGACGTAGACGTGATCTGGCAGCAGCACCTTGCAGCTTCATCGGCATCCAAGCTCCAACGCCAACACGGCCACACATATCTGCCACCAGCATCCTGCAGCCACACCCTGCAGCGGCACCCTGCAGCGGCACCAGCATTCAAGCTCCATGGCAGCGGCACCCTGCAGCGGCACCAGCACCCAGGCTCCAAAGCACACACAGACAACTCTGGCGCTATCTGGGGAAAAAATATGTTTGTGACTTTGCTGGATTCGGAATAGATTTTGGAAAGCACCGTACTAGCATCCCTTTTACGGGAAGGCCTATTTCTGTTCTGACAGGATTCTCCCAGTCAACCACCGGTGAGACAGACTCCAGGAAGAAGACATGTGAGAAAGCAGACTGAAAACTGGGTAATTCTCTTCACTTGGTCTTATCTAAAACAAAAAAGAGTCCAACTGGTCATCCAAAACCTAAGGACCTAGCAGAGACCATGGAGACAATGAAACAATCTGGAAAGAAATCGAAACAAAAAGGCATAATAAAGCGATGGCCTCTACCCTACTAGCGATGGCCTTCAACCTAATATTATTTATCTAATATTAGTTGCTTCCCCGGTCCCCGAATCTCGACATCGTGCAGCCCGTTCGCCAACACAAGGCCTTCCGTTCTCGGATCACGGCGCCGGTGTCGGGGCTGAAGGTGACCTCGGGTGCTTGAGGAACGCGTCGAACACATCGAAACAGTCAGATCCGGGTCGGTCGCTCCAACGACCGCTGGGCCGTTGTCTTGCCCAGCCAGCAGATTTGTTTGGTTTGATTATTGGCCCGGCCCGCCCACGGGCCCACGGGCTCGTGCCCTTCCGCGGACCGTCCACGGACCGTCCACGGGCTGTCCACGGGCTCAACTGCCACGGGCCCCGCGGGCGCCCCACGGCCCGCCCTCGGGCCCCGCGGATGGGCCCACCGGCTCCAAAGGTATGGTGGTGAAGGGCTGTAATGGTTGTAATTGTTATGGCGCTGTTCTCCTCGTTTGTGTGTCTTCGCTGTGGTTCTAGTTTTTCTTTTGTCCGTGTTGTGAGACAGCAGAAACTCTGCGGATGATGGGAGAGGTTGTCCTTATGCGTTGCAGCGGTGGGAAGATCCATGGGTCTGCCATGGCTGCGACTGTTGTATGTGTTTTCTCGCCTTTGTTTTCGTGGCTTTGGTGTTCCAGCTTTTCTTGTGTCCGTGTGTTTAAATAACCGCAGGTGATGGTAGGCTTGTCATTGAGCGTTGTTATGATGGTGGGAAGTTGCGTGAGATTGCAATGGCTATGGCTGTAAAAGCTGTCTCCTCCTTGTATACTTTTCAGGGCTGCGGTTCTAACTTTTCCTTTTTTCGGGGATGCCTTTGCGTTCGCGCCATAAGTTCTTGCGACATCAAGGCTGATATGTGGATGTGTTTGCCCAACAATTTTAATAAGCCTTCCTTGGGTGGCTACTCCCATCAAATCTGGCATGTGCTCTTGCGCGCGCTTCCTAATCAAACCTGCAACTGTTACTTTGTGCGGTCCGTCGATAAAGGAATCTAGTGTCACCTGTTCATCCGCACAGCTTCTATCAATTTCTAGTCTATTTCTACCCCCTCCTATATAATATATACCAAAAACTGAGTTCTCCTTAGTTTTGGACCTCATCTTCGGTTAAACAGACTCACATACTCTGTTGTAGAATGGACGATCACTCCAAGGTATATACTGCGATTGGTAACCTCTACTCACCTCAAATTGCAAGACTCAGGGCCTTTGACCAGGAAACAATTTAGAAAGAAGCGTTCAAGTTAGGTAAATGTAGTTGTCCTAGCCTCCTGAAATCTAGTCAAGTGGCCCTGCAGCAAAGGCGGGTATAATCTCTTCAGCCCTCCATGATCTTTTATGTCCCTCGCGCACACCGTCAACGGGCCCCGGATTGGACCATACCCCAATCATGATGCGAAGCAGCACAATTGCCTAAAAGCTGGTTCTTTGGTGTGGCGATGATTGAAACTCGGTGTGGGGTCCAAGGAGAACGAAGTAGCTTCCTTGCTCCTGGTAGCGATGCCAGGAGCCCCTAGTAGCGTTCTTGCTCCCAGTTGTACGGCCAGGAGCCCCTAGATACTCCACACCCAGAAGGCATCATAGACGCCCCACTTCACTCCAAGTGCCCGACGCTGCTGCAGCCACCCGCCTGGCAGGGTGATCCATCTTCTACTGTATATTGTATGCAGGTTCTGCAAAGCGATACGGAGGCCTCCAAAGGCATTTTCACGAACATGAGGGGATTGTGCAAACTTGGGGGAAGTCTCGCACAAAATTCCCTCCCATGTCAGGAGTGTCGCACTTCACAGGCGTGAGAAAAACTCTCCATTACAAGGAGCCTACGAAAGACAAGTCATGGTTTCATCACTCTCGCAACTCTAGTCAATGGAGCAATTTTTGTGTTGCAGCTCCCTGTGTTGCCCGTGCAATGCTTTCATGACCTTCCGTGCTCAAGCCGAATCACACCATCAACAGCACACCAGCGAAATATAAATACTTAAAAAAAATGTAAAAAAATAAAAGTAAACTGATGCCTCGAAGTCCACCACCGCCAGGCTCACATTGTCGGGGTTCGTGAAGACCTCCACCTGCAGTGACACCACTCATCTTGGACTGTACTTTGATCCTGGACCATGACTTCTCATCCACCCGGGGTGAACCAACTCACCAGTCTTGGCTCCCAAACAGTATTACAGTATTGGCCGAGAAGGGTAGCGGATACAGAATGGTCACCGCTGTGTCTGCGCCGACTCCGAGTCTGCACCGCGAGAAGTCTCCCACCTCCACGTAGATCCCCACATCCAGCCGTCGCGACAGAACGTCAGCGCCTGAAAGTAGCCAGGTCGGACGGATTTCTTTCCCAGCAATCCGGAAAAGTCTGTCGCCCAGTTGAATGTCAAAGTTGCTGCAGAAACCTCTTAGCCATTCTCTGCCCAGTTGGACGTGGGTTTTTCAGATGACCACAGCCGTTGGGCCCCAAGGTCAAACCATACAAAGCCAAATCCTCGACAGGGGGTACGTCCCACTTGAACAATCATCCTGATCAGTCTTCTGGACCCTCATATGGAGGGATCGGACAGGGGTCTGGGGTCTCAAGTCCCTGGGACAAAGCAATTCTTGGAAGATCTTGAAAGGAAGTTTTGAGCTCTCTTACGTTGAGTCATCCCCACAAGAACGTCACAAATGTCCAAATCCAGTTCGATGAAGCTGGATCTGGGACTCCTTGCGTAAGCGACACCGGCAGTACGCTATCTCATCCGCCTGAGCAAAGCGAAGGTGGAGAAAGCCAGCAATTGGTCAAGAATTCTGGCAGATCAGGCAGATCGATTTCACTCATGAAGATCTCATGCAAATCTCATGTACACTTCCAGAATGACTCTATAGAGTGTCCGCGAGTGATTGTACGCTGACACGCTGGTACGCTGGCGGTGGCTGGCTGCACTGATTGCGCTGGTTACTCTGGCTACGCTGGTTACCCTCGTTACGCTACGCTGGTTACACTGGTTACGCTGGTTACGCTGGATACGCTGGATACGCTGCTTACGCTGGTTACGCTGATTACGCCGATTACGCCGATTACGCTGGTTACGCTGTTTACGCTGGTTACGCTGGTTACGCTGGTTACGCTGGTTACCCTGGTTACGCTGGCTACGCTGATTACGCTGATTACGCTGGTTACGCTGGCTACGCTGGTTACGCTGGTTACGCTGTTTACGCTGCTTACGCTGGTTACGCTGATTACGGTGTAAACGGTGTAAACGGTGCAGACGGTGTAGACGGTGTAAACAGTGTAAACGGTGTAGACGGTGTAAACGGTGTACCGAAAAATTGTGGACACTGTTCGTGCCAGCAATGATAGAATTCCTAGAAATTCCTGTCCCGTTTCTTCCGAGATGTTTCACCTACCACACTCACTTGGTCGGGGCTTTTGGTTCGACTCACTTCCTCGCCTGCTCCACGCTGCTGATCTCAGGCCCCGCAAAGGGCGGCCGAAAGCTGGGCCTCGGAGCGCCCGTCCGCTGGGACCCTTCACCAGTTCGATGTTCTGAACCATGTTTTAGCGGTCACCTCAAATCCATCACTCGTGTTGGGGCGGAAGTCACTTTGCAAGTCACCTAAACCAGTTGGAAGGAGTCAGAATGTGTCAGGTGAAGCGTTGTGGATAAACGCCAGTCGCATATTGATGTGAAAAAGGGTGGCAATGGTGGTGCCTGATCCTTTGGTGATTTTTTGACAGTTTTGTCTTGATCTCATCCTCTGACTTTTCGTTCCAATGTTCCAACCGTGTCACTTGTGCGGACAAAGACATGCGCGACACAAGACATGCGATCACCAGAATAGACGAATCATGTAGCCTCATTTCGTTTGAACTGAGCGGTCAAATGGCAGACTCAAAGGTACAAGCTTTATGCAAGTGTTTTCTTGTCAAATGCTTTTGGCCCATGTTGTCTTGTTATTCGGGTAAAAATACAATATTTGGAGAACTCCGGTGGTATTTGATATTTAAAAGGGGTTCCAACAAAACGCTGGGCACAAGCACTTCCTCGATCATGAATCATGCGGCCAAATTGTGGTGCGCTAATTCACAACGATCGGTTTTGCGATAGGCCAAACCGCCCCACCGCTGGGCATGTGGGCAGCGCCCTTCGGAAGCGGGCGAAGCGACCGCGCCAATCCTGGGAGGCAGGGCAGGTCAACCAGATCCGATTTTCTCGCGTCCGAAGAATGCACCGACCAAGTTTTTTGTGCACTTGTGAAATTATTGCTTTCCCATGCTTTCCGCACAACTGTACAGAGGCCCCAGCCACTCGCGCCACGCGGGCAGGATCAGCAGTGCCGTCTCCTTCGGGAGCCCCGGTTGGACGCCGACGTTGGACCGGAAAAGAGGGGGTAGGCTCCACCCAGATGGAGCACCGTCGTCTCCTTGAAAGGTGCCTTCCTCTTCCAACTCGAGGCCCTGAAACCTGGGCGATCTCCGCTTTTGGGTGACCAATGCAAAGAAGAGCCTATGATTGGCACAATCATGACTAGCTAGTTCGACCTAGATTCCACAAATACATGATTTGGATATCTATAATCTTTGAAATGTCATCAAGCATCTACTGTATAGACTTCTAAAAGCCTGGTGGCTCCATCATCTCGATCTGCAAGACACAAAGACTCACACTCATCTCACCGCAAACCTGTCGTTCGTGGGTCGCTTGGGGCGCCGCATCTCTTCACCGAGGCTTTGCCACGGTCCACCTTTCGGTGGAGGAAAGGAATGGCAAGAGTGCCACTTGAGGAACTACAGCACAAAGAAGCACGCGAGTGAAGGAGAGGGTGAAGCCAAAGAGTGCTCGCACTTGTCGCGTTCTTGGCTCCCGGCCGGCTATCATGTTCAAAGTCCTGAGGTTGCTGTGCTGAAAGTTGGCATCTTATATCTATACTTATTCATATAAATATATAGATATATAATATATATATATATACATGTATACATGGCTAAGCTGCTGCCGGTGCCCCTTTTCTCCAGATTGTCGCTCAACCGCTTCGCTTTGACGTGTTGCCTCACGATTGGACCCGCCTCAAACACCTTCCTCTTCTTCTTCTTCTTCTTCTTCTTCCTCTTCGATGAAACAGTTTCATCCTGCATCTTGGTGAAGGGTTTTCCATTGCTGACCGCCACACCCATGTGAAGTTGCCCTGGTCAAAAGCAGATGTGACATCTCCGCTCTCGACTGGCAGTTTGCGGCCAACCCTTATTGTCCGTCGCCAACTACTGGTTGGCTGTCTCCACCGTATGCGTGTTACACGGAGCCAAGCTGATTGCATTTCTCCGGTTGAACTTCCATCACTGACCTTTGGTGGCTTTCACCTTCTCAAGGTGCTCATTCAGCGTTTTCCACAGCAAAGCTTCTCTGACTTTTTGGATATCTCTTTCTATAGAGACTCCAATCTTGTCGGAAGCACCAGGTTGCTTTGATGTCACAAGAGTACCAATCCGCATGGCCTTACCTTTGGAAGTCGAATCGAAGGCCCTTATTTTTTACATTCAAAGGTTAAGTGGTGTGTACACCACTCAGTGCGCGAAATAAAGACTACGGCGTTCAATTGCCTGAAGGGCTAAACTATTCTGAATTATTCTGTATAACTTGTATACTGTGTACACTGTTAAGCCCACTTCAGGATCTTGAACGTGGATCGAATGAGAGGATCCCTCGACTGTGGCCATGGGTTTCAGGGGTTGGAAGCAGCCTCACTGCAGCCTCACCCAATGAACCCTGCAACCGCTGAGCAACAGAATCCCTGCTCAACCAAGAATCTTCAGATACTTCAGGCCCTTCAGGCAAAATGTTCAGCATCAGGGTGTCATCAGTCACTTACTGTACTGTAAGATGTGCAAAGTGTCAAAAGCTAGCTCAAGCTCAGAACAGGATCAGCCAAGTGAGGAGAGAAATCAATGAAAATCAAGCAAAAAGCCTAGGAAATGCCTAGTACATCATACACTCCCTACCCCGCCCCAGTCCGAAAGGCTTGGCACGCAGCATCCGCGGCTGCTAGACCTACGGAGTCGCCCACACCGGCGGTCCAATTGGGCAAACTCAAAGGACACAAGCGGTTCGGTGTCACAATGAAAGTTCCAGCTTACAAATCGACTATTCTAAGCAAACCACCAAACCACGGCCAGCACTTGAAGCACAAACTGAGTTTCTGTTTGCAGTGCGAGGCGGTGGCTGTTGGCATCCAGAAAGCTCGCCACGATGAAGTAGGGCCTCAAACTGGCCCCGCAAAGAGGGTGGTGATTCTCAGTCGGTGTTTGGTGGACGACGAGCAGCGTTTGGTTTCTGTGGACATTTCTCCCAGGAGTCTGTCTCGCTGAGCTACAGGCCCATCTTCCAGATTCTGTAAGGCGGCCGATGGTACCTGTGCCTCGTTCCACGTTCTGGGCGTTGGCGTTTCAGGGCAGCACGTGTTGAACAAACTCCTGGAGACCCACGTCTTGACACCACCGGTCACGTGTGGCAAGACCGGTCCCTGATTGAGCCCACCACCTGCACTTCTGCATGCCTCTGCCTTCGCGGCGCAAAAAAGATGTCAGGACACAGGACATGACGCCAACTTGTCACCCAGCAAACACCAGCATCCAGCTTTCGAGGGTTGGTACTTGTACGCCATCATGCCAACAGAGCTCATGGCACAATGAACTTGATAGATAATGTAGATGACGCCCAAGCTACAAGCCCAAGTTCACTCTGGGTTGACACCGGTGCAAAGCTTTTGTATGTGTGTGTGTGTGGGTGAGTTTGTTCGTTCGTTCGTTTGTTTCTCCAGGCTCCCAGTTCATCGGATGGCGCCAAGCAGCATGGGCCAGAAGTTCACCACGTGCGCGTCCTCGTCCGTGGGGGCCGAGCTGAGGGGCTGAGCGGTTGGACACTTGAAAAACCGCTTAAAAGCGATGGCCTGCAACCTAGTAGCGTCCTTGCTCCTAGTAGTAAGGCCAGGAGCCCCTAGTAGCGTCCTTGTTCCCAAAAGCGATGGCCTGCAACCTAGTAGCGATGGCCTATGAGTCATATGAACTTGCCATGTCTGGTTCGCCAGTTTCCAGAGTGCATGCGCTGCACTCCCTTCGTTGTAAGAGCCAAGCTGATCCTTGGGGGAGTCCTTTTGGCTTTCTACCTCTCGTCTCTGGGTTCCCGTGCGCGTTCACAAGGGACCTGCTATGCGAGATGTCTTTGCTGTGGTGTGGACTGTATGGGTGTAGTCCATGCCGTTCCCTTCTTGTGGGCAGTTGTAAGATTGAGTCATCCAGGCTGGACCTTCGGCGAAATCTGGGGAAGGATTTCCAGCTAAGTCACCCAGCTGTTGGTTCGGTGCTCTGGTCCCCAGCCATGACGCAAAGCTTAGAATGAGAGTTAAGAGCACCAAGCTTTTTGGTGAAATCCCCTGTTGCAATACCTATGAAGGGACATGAGCCCCTAGTAGCGTCCTTGCTCCTAGTAGTAAGGCACTTGTTACTAGTAGCGATGCACTTGTTTCTACTAGCTTCTTGTTTCTACTAGCAAAAACCGAGAGATCGGCCTTCTTCGCGGTCTCTAGAACTCGGCCCAGGACATGGACCTGGAAGGCCCATGGATAGGCCTGGCGTTCCACCGGTGCGAGGCGGTCGTTCGGTGCCAAAACGGCTCCATTCGTGGAGAAGTCGGAAGGAAAGCTCGGTGAACCTTCAGACCCACAAGAAGAAGGGCCCAAGAAAAGAAGAGCATTTTCCTCTACAAGTTGAAGTGAGGGCTCCTGGTAGCTTCCTTGCTCCTAGTAGCGAGGCCAGGAGCCCCTAGTAGCGTCCTTGCTGCTAGTAGTAAGGCCAGGACCCCCTAGTAGCGTCCTTGCTCCTAGTAGCAAGGTATATAATTCAATTAATAGTTATCTGTTTTCTTGCCAAGAATCCTTGGGCTGTCCAAGAAGAACATCCTTCGGTCCCATTCTCAGCCCCCCGTCGCCTCCATCACCTCCACATGGCCATTGGCACTAACCTGCAAGAGGTCACATTGAACAACGCCCAAATCTTGCAACTGTCAGGAAAAAAGAGCTCCGGTCCCAAACAAATCAGTGGACCCCAAGGTTTGCAAGGAGATGTTCAGAAAGAATATTCCATTCTTCACGTCTTCATGTCCGTTAACTATCAGTAACCATTCTTTGTGTTTAATGTTTTTGTGGACTTCAGCCCGCCTGAATCTTGATAGGATTGTCTGAATCTACTCATCCAAATCACAAGCTACAGCTGCATCAATACCTTGACTGAGGTTTGAAGAAGGGCAAGTACAGTAGAACTTAAACATCCGGAAGAATCACTCTTGCCTCATCGAAGGAAGAGATCTGAGAATAGACCTCAGTGAAGTGCTGCGAGGCTGCCACATCTCAATTTGTTCTCTTAGAAAAAGCAAGTGTTCCTCCAAAAAAAGACATGGTGTGCATGTTCAACCTGGAATGATACTTCTGATTGCACACCAGTTGGTTTTAGGCTTGCCTTAAGGATACGTTCTGGCTCAAAATGTGTTCACCAATTTTGGACCGTATTGTTCTCGCAATGAGCTTGTCTACAATGATTTCAGGATCGAAGGTTTCTCGAAACACAATAGTAATAGCAGAAATACTTATGACTCTATGACCTCTGGATGCTACATCATAGAGACTTTGTTTATCTTGGTGTTGTCTTAGTTGAGGAAAAACTATTGTTATTTTGCAAAAAATGCTGGATTATTTCCACGAATCGGGTCGGGTGGCTTAACGGACGACAAACACCATGCAACTGAACCAGCACGGATTCGACGATGGGTCAGGCCCCCGCCATTCCTTTGGCGCAATCCATGGCAGCTGGCAGCGTGGGGTGGTGTGGTGACGAAAAGCCGGAAGTCTGGGAGACTTCCAGTAGTTCTAGTCGCATGTCCACTGCAAACTAAAACATTACTCAAAGAATCTAACGCATCCCGAAGGCAGGTCCCCGTCTCGCATCACCTTGGAATCAAGTCATTCTTTTTGACCCCTTGCGCGCTCTCTCTCTCTCTCTCTCTATCTATCTATCTATCTATCGACTGATATCCCACAATGCACAGCTATCACTTACCAGACATGTTCAAATCCTAAGTTCTGGAACGAGCAAAAAGACAAAAGAAAAGCATGCCGTTGTATTTACCAGATACCATTCAGGGTACTCCTCCAGCCTCACCCCCGTCCCGCCCCAAGCAGATTGGTTCCACCCCCCGAAGTTGCTCACATGCAAAAGCGCCTCGCGCGACGGTCTGCAGGTCCCCTGCTAAGATGTTCACCCCTTTTAAAGCCAAAATGGATACGACCGGAGAAGCCGTCCACGGAGAAGACAGGTGAAGCATCTTTCCTCCATGTCTTCATACAAGGTGGTGAGAAGGGGATGAAGATTTTTTCCGGGAATTTGTTTCAGGTTGTTTTTCCGGTAATTTGTTTCACGTGCTTTCTCCTACTGTTTTTGCTTTTGCTTCTGCTGGGAGTGCTTTACAAGCACTAGGAGCAGCAGAAAGGGCAGGGGACGAAGCACCAAAGCCAGCATGACAGTGACAAAGGGAGGGAACAAAAAAGGTATTCCACTTACTAGGGACTTCTTTGCGGTTGTCTTTAGCTTCACTGTTTTCGGGTTTCTTTGGGCTTGGTTTCTTGTCTTTAGGGCTTCTTTAGGCGTTCTTCCGAAAAAGGCATCCCACTTAACGAAGGAGAAGTAGGAGTGAGGAAAGAGGAGAGAGGAACTATAATGGGGACTTCTCTGCGGTCGTCTTTGGGTTTCAGTGGTTTCGGGTGTCTTTGGGCTAAGCAAAGTAGAAATCCATCTTTGTGGCAGCGTCAACGCAAAGAAAATAGTACAGTAGTTGTGGTAACTGTGGTAAGACTCGTAGCGGGGTGGTCCGAGTGATAGAGGTATTGGAAATAGTAGGGGTGGTGGACGGTAGTGGGAACTATAAAAAAAAGCGGGAGGGTGTGCAGGGGAGGGCGCAGCGCCTCCCCCGCAATGCAAATCAAATATAGACAGCGCTGGGCTGCTTCCTTTCTTGATTGGTATAATCGGGTGTCAAAGCTCAAGGTGAAGGTCTTATCATCCAACTTTGTGGCAGAGTCAATGCAAAGAAGATAGTCAGCAGAAGCAAAAGCAAAAGCAAAAGCAAATGCAGAAGCAAAAAGCAAAAAGCAGAAGCAAAAACAGAAGCAGAAGCAGAAGCAGAAGCAAAAAGCAAAAGCAGAAGCAAAAGCAGAAGCAAAAAGCAAAAAGCAAAAGCAAAAGCAGTAGGGGAAAAAAAGAAATCCCGGAAGAAAAAAAACTGAAAAAATAATCCCAGAGAAATACCGGTTCCGTGAGAATGTCTACAAGCTGTCATTAGACTCTAGACTCTAGACCATTTATGACCATCCTCTGTTCACAGGTCAAAGTCTAAAGCGAGGAACGCTGACTACAAAACCAGGATGATCGGCATGCCTCTTGATGTCTAGCCTGACAAACATGGCAGAAACAGAGGCAATGTTTCGTCTTGGCCTGGTGCTTTTTGCATGGCACTTTCCTTCCAACACTGCAGCAACCCTGGATCGGGAAACAAATAATAACGGAGAGACTTCGTTCTCGACCCCAGGCTTCCCAAAAAAGTGCCCCTCCCCTGCTTACACATCTAGAGATTGTAGGGTCGTCTCATTCTCGATATTCTCGCACGGATGGGACCGCTTCACCCGACCGCTCTTTTCCGCTAGCACGCCGCAGCAAGGCTCTGACCTGCGGAGAGAAGACCACATATCACGGGCTCGGCCTGCATTAAAGCCAGGAAGGAACCCGAGTTACTGAGCAATAGCCTCGTCTTACTCTGACTCTCTCTCTCTCTCACTGTCTGTCGGCGTCCAATACAGTTGTCTAACCAGGTTGCAGGGCTGCCCACTGCCCATTCTCCGAAAGCCCCCCCCAATTCCGCCCAGCGAACATTTGTTCTCTATTGGCCGAAGACACGACGTCATAATTCGCCTGAAAGCCATAAGAAGCCCTTGGCTTCCCAAGGGCTGAAACAAAGCCCGAAATGTCTGGTAGAAGCCATGACCCACCAACACAGGCTCGTGGTGCGAGTCTGTCTTAGGTGATGACTGGCTTCTTCTGCGAGGAAACAAGACAGAAGACTTGGTTCGTTGGTGCAAAACACAGGCGACTGGGACACCTGGTATCTTGAACCAATGGAGCCATCCGTCGTCATCACGAGGTCTCGTGGTCAAGACCATGGTCAAGAGGCTTCACCAAGATATTTGGACCAAACCGACTGCGTGGCCAGTACCTGGATCCTTTGGACCGATCAGAGTCCGCAAGCGCACTCTGTCATCCCATTGGGACCATGCGAAAAAGCTCCTAGTAGCGAACCTTGTTCCTAGTAGTAAGGCCAGGAGCTACGTTCGTAGCGTCCTTGCTCCGAGTAGCGATGCCAGGAGCCCCTGGTAGCTTCTTGTTCCTAGGACAATTGGATGGTGAGATTCCGATGATCCAGTCCCGGATGCCACTCCAACTGTGGACGGTGTGAGACACTCTTCCGAGCAATGAAACCCCGCTGGGAAGAGGGAACAAATGACCCGCAGCACAGGTAGCCGAGACATGTTTTCCTTAGTAGCTGGCTGTTCCAGCCACGGGAAGTTGAGGTATCAAAACGAACAGTTACATCATAGAAGAACTATTCAAGAGGGATCAAGAGGGTCTGAATGATTGCAGTAATATACTGTATCAAACAGCTGGAGGGGGTATGGGGAGTGCCTCCTTACCCAGCATCGTGGATGAAGGAACCCTCAGATTAGGAAGGGATCAGCAGGCGCTGTTTTCATGCAAATAGCTGGATGATCAAACATCTCGAGGTTTGGGGGGGTTGTTTTCTTAATCAACAGTCAACATTATCATGATGTTCATGATGAGTTGGGTATGTGGTCTGGCGACTTTGTCGGGTCTTCTGTCTGAGGATGGGCGATCCCAATCTATCAACTCAGTGCCATGTTGTGCCTGCGAGAGTCGCTTCACCCCTGAGAAAGGGGGGTCCATACAACCCTTTTTTGGTAGATTGCTCTGATCAAATCTACCGCAAAGAAACGAAGGTGGCTAAGTGAACTTGCATCCAACCAAATGCCACGACCAAATGTCTTGCATACGACGCATGCTGCGATGTGGTGTCGCGATGCCACGAACTGGCAATCCATTGAGGTCTTATCCATCTGGGGGGGGACGGACAACTGCGATGCCCCAGGAGCACCCGTTAGGCTAAGCCTGGAAAACGGTGGAACTGCGTTTCTTGTACGAGTGTGGGATCATCAACCCTGTCTGCTGGCTAGTTCCAACTCACACAACCAATAAGCGACCAAAGCATGTTCAGAAGGCACCTTTAGAGCACTGTACTCGCCGATCCCGTGCATAGACTATAGGCCACAACCCTACAACCACCGATAGAGCTCACTGATTCTCTGCAAGAACATCTGCACTTTTTACATGAAGTTATGCTCGTGTGAAGGTCGTTGTCGACTTGTCATGGAGCTCAAGAAACTACCCGGTCGGGGGATCCAGTGAATCCTAAGCCTATGCCTGTGCATCATGGGCGAAGCCTGTCACAAGAGCTTGGGCGAAGCTTGTTTCTGCGGTCCACTCATTTAAAGACAAGAAAGAAAGAGGTCGACCTTGTCCAGTGTGGGAAGACTTCCCACCTGACCAAGCGCACCATCAGGGACCAAACAACGTGCGAAAGAGCATCTTTGTCATATAATGCCAAGTCGTGGATCTACCCCCCGGGGTTTGTAGAGGGATCATTTGGTCAAGATTGCAAGAGTTTCCAATTTGTGTCTACTAGTGACAAGAAGCTACAAGTAACAAAGGGCATCGCTACGAACGGAGCAAGGACGCTACGAACGTAGCTCCTGGCCTTACTACTCGGAACAAGGTTCGCTACTAGGTGTTTCGTGGAATAATCTGGAATGACCTTACCCACCGCTTTGGAGTTCTCCAAGGTTTTCCGACGCCGATTCTGACCGTGGGCACCTCCTGAAGCAAACAAACTCACGCACTTAGTCGTCCAAGCACTGAGTCGGCTGTATCAGGTGAGCCACTCAGTGCAGTGCACGCCAAACAAACAAACAAACAAAGGTCGAGGAACATGAAGTGGTTCTTGTCAAGGATCCATTCTTACCTTGGAGTCTTTGACAAAATATGTGATAACTGATAACTAACAAGTAGGTGTATATAAATGTTTGATGGTGTTTGTTAAAGTCACATTGCATCAGTCTCTTTGGATCCGGCAAGTTCTCCTCAGGAGTAGTGCCACAGAGTTGCAGTACTGGAAAAGTCCGCACTGCTGGGAAAATCCGTGGCAGCTCAAGAGACAGCGCAAACGAGGTGCCCTTCTGTGTATGTGCACCAAATCTGCTCAAAACAATGGTTCTTCTACAGAGTTGCAAAACAAAGACTGGTTGTCGTGGGGAACCTCTTTCGGCCCATGATATCCAAGCCTCAGCACTTTTCAGAGCGTGATTGCTCTTTCAGAGGACGTTGCCTTCCAGTTGAACGTGTGCCAGTTGCGCAAAGGGTTGCGTTGGCTGTTATCTCGTTTTGTGGGCAACAGCCTCGACACCCAGATCAAATACACTCTCTTCAGAGCGTTGGTGTGACAAATCCAACAGGCTGTGGCTCAACCATCCTTTGACTCAAATAAATCACATCCAACCACTGGTCCTTTCCATGTTTGTCCGACTTGGACCACTTGGACCCGGAGGGACTCCAAAACGGATTCTTTGAGCCATAGTGCCAAAAAAGGGATGCAAAACAGTACAACTGCCGATTGCGTGGGCGAGTGCGAAACCGCTCGAACTGGATCTTTTGTGTGAGGCCTCGTTTTGATTGACATGTCGCCAGTGCCAATACTCCATGCCAAGGTCGATAAAAATCAAGGAGAACAAGGTGGTCCGAAACTGTTGGAAATGGGGTGAGTGATTGAACATTCTACAAGCAGCCCACTGAAAAATATGGCGCGAAACTCTAGAACAGCTGGCCCTGTGCAATTCTCTATCAGCATTCTCTCCAGGTCCTGTCGTGACCTGTTCTTGGCTCATGGGGGAGCCGGACAAGCGTCACCCGCCCAACCGCACTCAGCTCACAAGGAGATGCGGGTCGTCACGTCACTCTTCTGGACCAGCTTTGCCCTCCCAGGACGGAGGCAGGGACAGAAACCACAAGATAAGTGGCCCAAAACGCCAAGAAACTACTAGGGGCTCCTGGCCATACTACTAGGAACAAGAAGCTATTCCGGTATATAAATCTATAGCAACCACACGCTGCCTGAACTCAACTCATTGCCCAAAACCGAAACGGCTCGGATGGGCGATGGCCCGACCTCAGCTTTCTTGGGCCTAACGTCTGGAGCCAGTATGCCTCGTTGCCTCGGTGCCAAGTGTGGGGCACCAACGGACGCCTTTAGAACGGACACTTTTAGAGAACCTGAAGACTGGACGAACGCAGAAGGTGATGGTCAACAAAACATTTGTGGTCGGTGTCGCGGTGAGTTTTCCTGGTCCGCTGGATGGGGCGGGAATGCTGCAGAGGTGCCAGCCCATCGGGATTGGTGTATTCATGTGCAAAGATCCAGCTTCCAAAGCAAATGTTCGGATGATACAAATGACCTGGTCCGTCAGCTCCCGTTAAAAATTGGGGCAAACGTCAAGTTTGCTAAACCGGTCCAAATTGCTGGATATCTTCATGGGCTTCGGGTTTTTTGCGTCAGTAACAGGGGTTTTCTGCGACAGTGAGCTGCTGGGAAGGGTTTTTGGCGACAGTGCCCGCAGGGGAACTGATGCTAGAAACCCCTGCGCAGCTGGCACCGTCGCAAAAACAACCTGGAGCTTATCTGAAAGGTCGTAACTGTTTGAAAAGGCCCCTGTTACTGTTCCAAAAAACAACCGTCCCCATCTTTTTGTACAGCGTATCATTGTCTAGAGCCAGCTAAAACTCAACACAATGAAACTACCAAGCTTTGGAAAGGGAGACACCAGAAACGTCACATACCATCACTACAAAGTGGCAAACTGGGCAAACTAGCAGCAGAACATCAGCACTAGCTATATTATATAACAGACCGTCCCATTCTGTAGTGGAAACATGCAGGAGAAAAAGGTGCTAAAAGCTCACGGTCGCTAATCACACCGTGAGCAAAGACAACCACCATGAGTGTTTTGTCAATCCTCACACCCATTGCAAAACATTTTGTCCATCGCTCAAAGGCGCCAAGGCACTTGGCTTTTGAACTAAAGGATCCTGCTCCACTTTCGCAAAGAATTCTTCGAATCCGGCTGGCGGAGGGGTCCTTCGTCATGAAACTGTGCGTCGGAAGACTGATTCATCGGAAGGTGGAAAGAGAAGAATCCTAAGAAACCAAACTCCACACACCGGATGTTGCTTTTCTGCTGTAAGGCAACCTCACGGAGGAAGGCTTTTCAGTTTGATCAAACGAGGCGAGTTTGGTGGATCTACATGGTTCATTGGCAAACAACCTGTAAGGCCACAATGCTGGACGATCCACTTCATTCAAAGGTGAAGCGCTTATCGGCACACGTCACCAGCCGTGGCCGGACCTTTGCAGCTTGGTCTGCCCAATGAAGCGTGGCGAAGAAGGGATGCAACCAGACCTCGGCAGCCACGGGAAGAACGACCCGAAAGAAGGCTGCCTCCGCGAACCCGAAATGACGCTCCATCAAGCTACAGCTCTTCCGTACCAA